AGTCCACGTTACGGCTTGTAATGTCCATGGCTCCAAAGGCAGCACAATATTAGTAGACATCTCTACTACAACACAGAGAATATGTCAAATCTCATGTCAGCAGCTTTCACCTCGTCTTGGGACTAACAACTCCCCCTAGAAGTGACAATATATCCTATGAATCACAGTTTCTCTGGCATTAGCACTACATTAGTGGAAGTTAATTAGTGGAGGTGCTGCCATTTGACGTACTTAAAAGTCTGGTCATGGAGATTAGGCTCTCAGTAAACTGATTAAATAAATGTCAATGGCTCAACTCTACTGCGTTCAAAAACTCACTTTTTATATATTTACAGAGCCAATGCATATCAGCAGCAACCTTTAGGTATACGGATCTAACCCTAACCCTAACCCTAACCCTCAGGCTGCACGCAAAGAGCAGAGAACGTTTTTCTTGTTCTTTCCTGTAGAGCGAGACAAACACAGGAGTCCCTCATTTAGCAATCAAAGATCATTCATTAGCTATGTTTCCATTAACTTGTCCAATGATTTTTTGTCGACATTTAGAAAGTTTGCATAGAAAAGAGATGCAATGATTTCCTGCATCTTCTTCTACTTTGGTATAATGACGTTCGCAACAATTATGTGCATTCTGCCACCTAGTGGATGATAAAGATCCCCAAAATGAAGTAATATAGGGTAATACAATATATATATACATATATATATCCATACAAACTATAAATAACAACATTTAAATTAAACTAAATCAGCCTAACAACATTCTAATCAGAAGGATCCTGTGAGGGTGGGACATTTCCTGGGGACAGTAGTCCCTGCAGTGCTTCTGCCGTGAAGTCTTGGAGGCCCAAAAACGTGTCGGCTGCAGATATTATGTCCAACTTCTTGGACACTTTTTTTTCTTCTTTTTCTTTCACCTTTATTTAACCAGGAAGCCAGTTGAGAACAAGTTCTCATTTACAACTGGGACCTGGCCAAGATAAAGCAAAGCAGTGCGATAAAAACAACAACACAGAGTTACATGTGGGGTAAAAAAAAACAAAGTCAAAAAATACAACAGAAAATATATATACAGTGTGTGCAAATGTAGTAAGTTATGGAGGTAAGGCAATAAATAGGATATAGTGCAAAATAATTACAATTAGTATTAACACTGGAATGATAGATGTGCAAGAGATGATGTGCAAATAGAGATACTGGGGTGCAAAAGAGCAAAATAAATAACAATATGGGGATGAGGTAGTTGGGTGGGCTAATTTCAGATGGGCTGTGTACAGGTGCAGTGATCGGTAAGGTGCTCTGACAACTGATGCTTAAAGTTAGTGAGGGAGATAAGAGTCTCCAGCTTCAGAGATTTTTGCAATTCGTTCCAGTCATTGGCAGCAGAGAACTGGAACTTGTGCAGTGCAATTAATAACTGTGGCTATAAATGCTACAAAATCCATCTTCTTCACAATAGGTGTATCCAGATCACTTGATTGACGTATAACATTTGCAACTGTTTTGCGGTGCATCCACCGCCATATCTTCTTCAGCACTGTGGCCTCTTGCCCCTTCAACTCTCTTCACCGCCTCCACATACAATTGCCTGCTAGGGTGCGTTACCATTTAACTATCTTGTGTTGATAAAAACAGCTGGACAAAAACCTACAGCGTCAAATAACAGTGTTTCCATTACCCATTTAGACAAATTGGGTATTAATACATTGGTGACAGTCTGTATGCCCTCCCTCCCATCTGTTCCATGTCTCAGGTAGCCCGTGAAAGTCGGCATGGATCGAATGCAATAATTGACTAATACTTGCAATATTTCTAATAATTCTCATGTGCCAACGTATCGCCAAGGTCCGTGCCATGCTGAAACTGCACTCCTGTAGGCCTAGATCTAAAATAATTGGATGGTGAAACTTGCCAGCCAACCAGAAAAGCAAGGCGAAGCCATTCCAGCATTCTTGAAAGTCAATCTTTGTCCTGTAAAGAAGCATTTTTATAGTTGAAAAAAAATATTCAGCGAGCAGTATGCATTCAGAATTAAATGTGGAGTGGAGCTTATAGTTACGTGATGTCATCACGTGTCCCGCGTACCTTCAAAACTATTCGGCAATCATCATTTATACGACAGTATCTATCATTATTTGTTGCAATAAAGTTAGACAAAAGACAAATCCACCCCCGTCGATCGGATAAAAATGTTTTCGAACTTTAGAAAATGTCTCCTATATCTGCCGTTTCCATTACAAATTTTTTTTGCGACATTGATGTTGTGTAATAAACCTGGGTTTTTTAATTCACATGGCTTTTCCAGGACAAGATCAGCCTTAAAAACACATCTCGTTTTGATCATATCTCATCTTTTAGCTTTTTTTATTTTCTCATAACTAAGATACCACATCACAATCATATTTTATGCGTTTTAATAACTTGCATTGCAAAATTTGAAAACCAATTGCAAAAATACTTTTGCTTTTGTACAATTACATCCAACCAAGCAGCATTTTATCAACACAACAAATGGACAAATGTGCTGAATAATGGTTACAAACAACAAAGAGTTTTCAGTAGCACAACTAGTAGACAGACACTGGAATGAAACTATATGTATAACAGTCATCTCTACCAATAAATACACCCACACAGCTTGGGAATTAATGTAGTGGCATTATTGAGGTAGTTATTTCACTCTCTATTGACATCAATGGATGTTTCTCAAATGGAACCCGATATCCCCATAGGGCTTTGGTCTAAAGTAGTGCACTATACAGGGAATAGGGTGTCATAGGGCTTTGGTCTAAAGTAGTGCACTATACAGGGAATAGGGTGTCATAGGGCTTTGGTCTAAAGTAGTGCACTATACAGGGAATAGTGTGTGATTTGGGACGCATTTATAATCTGTTATTCTGCTTCATCCTCTGGAGCAGCACGTCATGTCCCTGTGTGACATTATCTCAAACAGCACAAACACATCCAGAAAGTGCTCAGTAGTAAATCATCATGGTCCCTCAACATTCACATAAACATCAATTCTACATATCTGATAGTCCGTTTCCTAGCTGTAAACAGTACAGTACCATACTAACAGAATCAGGACAACAACATCATCAACACAGACGGTGAATTACAGCAGTCAACAGGTATCAATATAGTTAATACAACAACAACATAGTAACAAGCTCCTCAGCAGTTTGGTCCACTGGACAAGGTTCAATTCCTCTCATCACCATTTCATTTACAAAAATAAGAGATATTTGGGAAACCAGTTCCCTTGAAAAGTACCAACTACTAAATATTGTAGTAGTCTTTAAAAAGTATTTATTCTTTAAAAAGTCTTTACTCTTTAAAAAGTATTTATTCTATAAAAAGTATATTCTTTAGAAAGTCTTTATTCTTTAGAAAGTCTTCATTCTTTAAAAAGTCTTTATACTTTAAAAGTCTTTATACTTTAAAAAGTCTTCGTTCTTTAAAAAGTCTTCATTCTTTAAAAAGTCTTCATTTTGGACTCCGGCTGGAAGCCTTGCTTGGTTGTCATGACAATATGCCATACCAGGGTTAGTACTGTAACTCCATTTAGACTCCTATCAGTACATGGATTCTTCAACAAGCCCATCTGAAATAGAAAGGTCAAGTCATGCTAGTGTCATTTCAACAATAAGAGTCAGTCAGACAACAGCCAACCCTAACCCTAAACTACCATCTTAAAAACATCCCTGTCATTATTTGTATAAATAAATGTGGTTGAGTTGTGTATAATGTTATAATCCCCCTGATGGAGGTTGAGTTGTGTATAATGTTATAATCCCCCTGATGGAGGTTGAGTTGTGTATAATGTTATAATCCCCCTGATGGAGGTTGAGTTGTGTATAATGTTATAATCCCCCTGATGGAGGTTGAGTTGTGTATAATGTTATAATCCCCCTGATGGAGGTTGAGTTGTGTATAACGTTATAATCCCCCTGATGGAGGTTGAGTTGTGTATAACGTTATAATCCCCCTGATGGAGGTTGAGTTGTGTATAACGTTATAATCCCCTTGATGGAGGTTGAGTTGTGTATAATGTTATAATCCCCTTGATGGAGGTTGAGTTGTGTATAATGTTATAATCCCCCTGATGGAGGTTGAGTTGTGTATAATGTTATAATCCCCCTGATGGAGGTTGAGTTGTGTATAACGTTATAATCCCCCTGATGGAGGTTGAGTTGTGTATAACGTTATAATCCCCCTGATGGAGGTTGAGTTGTGTATAATGTTATAATCCCCCTGATGGAGGTTGAGTTGTGTATAATGTTATAATCCCCCTGATGGAGGTTGAGTTGTGTATAACGTTATAATCCCCTTGATGGAGGTTGAGTTGTGTATAATGTTATAATCCCCTTGATGGAGGTTGAGTTGTGTATAATGTTATAATCCCCCTGATGGAGGTTGAGTTGTGTATAACGTTATAATCCCCCTGATGGAGGTTGAGTTGTGTATAATGTTATAATCCCCCTGATGGAGGTTGAGTTGTGTATAACGTTATAATCCCCCTGATGGAGGTTGAGTTGTGTATAATGTTATAATCCCCCTGATGGAGGTTGAGTTGTGTATAATGTTATATCCCCCTGATGGAGGTTGAGTTGTGTATAATGTTATAATCCCCTGATGGAGGTTGAGTTGTGTATAATGTTATAATCCCCTTGATGGAGGTTGAGTTGTGTATAATGTTATAATCCCCCTGATGGAGGTTGAGTTGTGTATAACGTTATAATCCCCTGATGGAGGTTGAGTTGTGTATAACGTTATAATCCCCCTGATGGAGGTTGAGTTGTGTATAATGTTATAATCCCCCTGATGGAGGTTGAGTTGTGTATAACGTTATAATCCCCCTGATGGAGGTTGAGTTGTGTATAACGTTATAATCCCCCTGATGGAGGTTGAGTTGTGTATAATGTTATAATCCCCCTGATGGAGGTTGAGTTGTGTATAATGTTATAATCCCCCTGATGGAGGTTGAGTTGTGTATAATGTTATAATCCCCCTGATGGAGGTAGAGTTGTGTATAATGTTATAATCCCCCTGATGGAGGTTGAGTTGTGTATAATGTTATAATCCCCCTGATGGAGGTTGAGTTGTGTATAACGTTATAATCCCCCTGATGGAGGTTGAGTTGTGTATAATGTTATAATCCCCCTGATGGAGGTTGAGTTGTGTATAATGTTATAATCCCCCCTGATGGAGGTTGAGTTGTGTATAATGTTATAATCCCCCTGATGGAGGTTGAGTTGTGTATAATGTTATAATCACCTTGATGGAGACTGTGGGGCAGATAGTGGTTGAGTTGATGCAACTCAGAGGTCTGATTATTACAGCTTGTCCTCAGAAAGAAGGGATCCATGTTAGCTGGGTGGAATGGGTCCAGGGGGAAGGAGAGAGAGAGGGAGGAGTGTTCCAGGGGGGGGGAGAGCGAGAGGGAGGACTGCTCCATGGGTAGAGGGTCCACTAGAGAGGACAGAGCCAGGGTTGAGGGGTCCTGAGGTTGGTAGCAGTGAGACAGACTCCCAGGTCCCGGAACCATGCTAAGATCCTTCAGGAGACTATCAAACACTCCCTCATCCAGGACCAGCTCTGGCTTGATGTGGAGGGGGACAGGGGAGTGACCTGGGTGCTGTGCCCAGGGAAGGGGCTCTGAGCTGGGCTGAGGCTGAGTCTGGATGGGGCTCAGGGTGTTGAACAGGTCGAAGCTGGAGGCCAGAGAGGAGATCTGCTGGGCTAGGATACTGATCTCTACCTGGTCTCTGTCATTGTAGAGGAAGGAGAGGTCGGAGGTCGGGGAGGGGTTAGGGGTCAGCAGGCCTCCAATAGGAGGAGAGACAGTCTGGGGTACATGGTGGATCTGTTGGCTCTGGTATGGACTGGTGGCGCCATCTTGAGGCTGAACTGAGAGGCTGTAGTCTTCAGTATGGATGGTGATGGGGCAGTCTGCTGAACTCTCTAACAAGTTTGATACAGACAGACAGTCAGGGACCAACCTGGCATCAGCAGAGCATGCTGGGTAATCATACTGGGGAGAAGAAGGGCAGGACTGAGGAGAGAGGGCGTCGGTCTGGCTGAAGACACCCTGGTGGAAGGACTGCTCCGAGCCGGGCTGGAAGGACCTAAAGGGGGAGAGCTGGCAGGAAGACCCAGTCCCTACCTCAGTCCCTACCTCAGTTCCTACCTCAGTCCCTACCCCAGTCCCTACCTCAGTCCCTACCCCAGTCCCTACCCCAGTCCCTACCCCAGTCCCTATCCCAGTCCCTACCCCAGTCCCTACCTCAGGGCAGTGGTAGGAGGTTATGTTCTCTGTGTAGCCATACACATCCAACAGAGAGTCAGAACTGGTGTCGTCCTGCTGTGTTGGAGAGTGGGAGGAGTTGGAGGAGGAGCTGTAGTGGGAGGAGGTGGGGCTGTAGGGAGGGGTGGAGAAGAAGGCGACAGGTGAGGCCTGGGAGGAGGAGCTACATGATGTCACGTAGAACACAGCATTAGACTCTGCTCTCTGTCTCCTGCTGGTCTTAGACCTGGTCTCACTCTCGGATATCCCACTGTACTGGCTGCATGCTCTCTGTCTCTTCAAGTCCCTGGTGGGGCAACAGCCCTGGGTCGGCTGGGGGGTGGGAGAGGGGCAGTAGGGCTGAGGAGGTGAGGCTCTGAAAGCATCGCTGTGGATCTTCTTTCTCAGATACATGGCTTCTGTTTCACTGTGAAGGAAGAAAGAATAGAAGTTACTCCAGTCTCTCAGAGCATAGCAAATTTACTCAATACAGGCAGCTACAATTATTACTAGATATATATTTTTATTCTTTCATTTTTCTTGTTTCAAGACAAAACAAGAATCAAATTGTACATATAGAGACATATTCTGAAGACTCAGTTAAAATCATGAAAGCATTCAGAGTGTCTAGTACCTGATAATGTGGTTACTGCAGCTCACTTCCTCGTTCCCAGAATGCTTAGTGGCTCTAGTGTAGATCCAGGACCAGGAGAGGTTTCTGTGTTGGAGCCTCAGAACCATTTCCATCTGACTGCCCACGTCTGCCTGCACTGGGAGAGAAGAGGACAGGAAACCATTCATATCATGGACACTATATTTATCTAGCATCTTACACTAAGGAAGAATACTCTTCATACATAACAACGTGAGATGCTTCCATTTGGGATCTTCATTGTGAATATCTTCATGTTAGAATATAGTATAACAGGTATAATTTAGTATCATAGTAGTTTTAATGTTTTTCTACTTACTCAGACTCTTATGTGAGTAGGCACTCAAGGAGAGGTCTTCAGGGTGGAGGAGGCTGTACCACGATTGACCAATCAGCTCCTCCGACGAGTAGCCCAGGTATAACAGAACACTGTCGTCCAGGTGACTGAAGCTCATGTCTGGTCTGTGGAGGCTGGTGAAGGAGGAGGAGCAGGAGGTGATGTTGCCCAGGTGGTTCACTGTGGGGGTGCAAAGAGCCAAGAACACCCTCTCCACAGGGGGGCCAGATTGGCTACGGGCTGGGGACGACGTGGGGGTGGACTGGGGGGATTGTGGGACGGTCTGGTAGCGTCCTCGGACCATTATAGAACAGCAGTTACCATACTCTAGTCTGAAGGCCTTGGAGGTGTGCATCCGACACACAAAACTCCTCCCTGCAGGGGAGAACAGAACAATAACACAAGATCAGTCTCGTCATCCATTTTGTTTTCCAGTGAGCTCCTAAATAATCTGTTGATTTGATTTTCCTTTAGATAGTATAGTCTCTTACCAGTTGATGTTGTGCTGTCTGTCTCCAGGTGAGATCTAACAGTCTCTACGTCCTGACTCTCTACCAGGTCATAGAAGGTGTCTCCCTGAAGGACATCAACCTATCAGAGAGAAGTTTAGTGACTAACATCATGCCCGACACAGCAGTCAGTAACACAGCAGATGTGATTTTACAGAACCACAGAATAACAATGTTCTATTTCCTATACAATTCTATATATTTTGGACTCAGTCTTCATCAGGTTGGTTCTCACCATGGAGAGCCCCAGGTAATCAGAGACGTTCTCGGAGACGTAGACCAGCCTGCCCTGGGAGGAGAGGACCAGAATGAAACCATGCAGGGCTGGGAGGAAGGTCTCGTACAGAGGATAGGAGGAGGAAGAGGAGAGACAACTCTGATCAGCTGATAATCCTGGAAGATGAGGAAATACAACTCAGGATTAGCTTCATCACAGAGAACTCAGCAGGTATGGATCCATCACTACAGGATCCATCACAACAGGATCCATCACAACATCACGTCTCAACAAGTATGGATCCATCACTACAGGATCCATCACGTCTCAACAGGTATGGATCCATCACTACAGGATCCATCACAACGTCACGTCTCAGCAGGTATGGATCCATCACTACAGGATCCATCACAACATCACGTCTCAACAGGTATGGATCCATCACTACAGGATCCATCACAACATCACGTCTCAACAGGTATGGATCCATCACTACAGGATCCATCACAACATCACGTCTCAACAGGTATGGATCCATCACTACAGGATCCATCACGTCTCAACAGGTATGGATCCATCACACAACATCACGTCTCAGCAGGTATGGATCCATCACTACAGGATCCATCACAACATCACGTCTCAACAGGTATGGATCCATCACTACAGGATCCATCACAACATCACGTCTCAACAGGTATGGATCCATCACTACAGGATCCATCACAACATCACGTCTCAACAGGTATGGATCCATCACTACAGGATCCATCACGTCTCAACAGGTATGGATCCATCACTACAGGATCCATCACACAACATCACGTCTCAGCAGGTATGGATCCATCACTACAGGATCCATCACAACATCACGTCTCAACAGGTATGGATCCATCACTACAGGATCCATCACAAACATCACGTCTCAACAGGTATGGATCCATCACTACAGGATCCATCACAACATCACGTCTCAACAGGTATGGATCCATCACTACATCATTAGTCATCAGCACGTACTTACCCAGACGACTTACAGTTATGAGTGTCATACAATATTTTAACATATGGCTCCCCTACGGACCCGAAACACACCGGTCTCAACCATGCTTAACCAACTGAGTTCAAAATCCTCCGCCGGATTCCATCACTACCTGACGACGTCTCCAATTGGACCACACCAGGGTCTCCCGTCGCAGGGCCTCACACAGAGCTGGATTCGAACCACGGATCTCAGGCATGGACCTCACTCGGGAGCATCAACAGTCTCAACAGGTATGGATCCATCACTACAGGATCCATCACAACATCACGTCTCAACAGGTAGGGATGGATCCATCACAACATCACAGGTCTCAACAGGTAGGGATCCATCACAACATCACAGGTCTCAACAGGTAGGGATCCATCACAACATCACAGGTCTCAACAGGTAGGGATCCATCACAACATCACAGGTCTCAACAGGTAGGGATCCATCACAACATCACGTCTCAATAGGTATGGATCCATCACAAGACCTTGGAAGATACACTGTTAAACAGACATTTGTAAATCGACAGGCTAGGACGTTTTGTGAATTTTCAAATACAGTTCTAAGACGCCTTTGGGAATGCCCTAAACCTCAACTAAATATTGTAATGAATAATGTGGAAATTGAGCAAGTTGAGGTGACTAAACTGCTTGGAATAACCCTGGATTGTAAACTGTCATGATCAAAACATGTTGATACAACAGTAGCTAAGGTGGGGAGAAGTTTGTACATAATAAAGTGCTGCTCTGCCTTCTTAACAGCACTATCAACAAGGCAGGTCCTACAGGCCCTAGTTTTGTCACACCTGGACTACTGTTCAGTAGTGGGGTCAGATGCCACAAAGAGGCACCTCAGAAGATTACAATTGGCTCAGAACAGGGCAGCACGGCTGGCCCTTAAAAGTACACGTAGAGATAACATTAATAATATGCATGTAAATCTCTCCTGGCTCAAAGTGGAGGAGAGATTGACTTCATCACTACTTGTATTTATGAGAGGTATTGACATGTTGAATGCACCGAGCTGTCTGTTTAAACAACTAGCACACAGCTCAGACACCCCTGCATACCCCACAAGATATGCACCAGAGGTCTCTTCACAGTCCCCAAGTCCAGAACAGACTATGGGAGGCGCACAGTACTACATAGAGCCATGACTACATGGAACTCTATTCCACATCAGGTAACTGATGCAAGCAGTAGAATCAGATTTTAAAACAGATACAAATACACAGCAGGGACTGTGAAGAGAAACACACAGGTACAGACATACACATACATTTACATTTTAGTCATTTAGCAGACGCTCTTATCCAGAGCGACATACAGTTAGTGAGTGCATACATTTTCATACTTTTTCATACGCACACAAACGCTAGCACATGCAATCTACACACACCTACATTGCAATATTGTTGTATGGTGGAATTACACATTTTGTATTGTAGATATGTAGTGGTGTAATAATGTTATATGATGTTCTGTTTTATATTTTGTTTTATATGTAATGTAAGTGCCTTAATGTGTTTGGACCCTTGGCAACAGCTAATGGGGATCCCTAATGAATACAAATACATCCATTCTTAAAGTTGGAAATGTCCTACTGGTTCCATACATGAAAGTTCCTCTCCTGGTTGTGTACTCACCCTGGTACAGAAAGCTCTTCCTGATGTACGCTGTGATAACCGCCATACTGTGGAGGTATGACAGTCTGTCCTGGTCCTCCTGAGGGATTGGGAGCAGAGTTCTCATGTTCCTGATCTCAGAGTTGATCTGGTCCCTCCTGGCTTTAGACGCCCCCTTAGTGGACCTGCGTAGCAACACCATGTTCACAGGTCAGGATACGACGGGCCAGAGAGGGCAGAGGTAGAACTGAGCTCAGGGTATCCTACTACATGCAAACTCTTCCTAGTCTCTCTCAGTCTAGTGAAAAACTGCTCTTTGTTAAATGGCAAAAATAATCCAAAGTCAAAACGGAGAAAATGTGTTCCTTTCCGGCTTCTTAATATAAAGGCGAAAGAAATGCACACCTATTTAGAATGGCTTTAAATCAAAGTCTCCGGCTTCTCACTGCACTGCAGGCTTCTCACTGCACTGCAGGCTTCTCACTGCACTGCAGGCTTCTCACTGCACTGCAGGCTTCTCACTGCACTGCAGGCTTCTCACTGCACTGCAGGCTTCTCACTGCACTGCAGGCTTCTCACTGCACTGCAGGCTTCTCACTGTGCCTTACTAAAGGACAAGCTGTGCCACCGACTGGATGGGATTGGATAGCAGTTTGCTAGAGTGAGAGCTTCTGTGGTTCCTATGGAAACAATTGTTGCTTTATGTGAGGAGAAGAGGCTCTCTAGCTGCTCTGTGTGACCAGAGGCTCCTGGTTTATAGAGAGCGTGGGCGTCAGACAAACAGCAGGAGACTGGACTCCTCTATCATCTCTCCATCGCTGTTCTATCGCTCCTTATAAGAGGCCATCCTCGCAGGACAACAGCACACGTCCCACACTAACACAACGTAGAGCCACCTAAGAACGTCCGTCCGTCCGTCTGTCCGTCTGTCTCCCTCTCTCTCTCTCTCAATTCAAAGGGCTTTATTGGCATGGGAAACATATGATTACATTGCTAAAGCAAGTGAAATAGATAATAAACAAAAGTGAAATAAACATAAAAATGAACAGTAAACATTACTCACAAAAGTTCCAAAGGAATAAAGACATTTCAGATGTCATATTACAGTTGAAGTCGGAAGTTTACATGCACCTTAGCCAAATACATTTAAACTCAGTTTTTCACAATTCCTGACATTTAATCCTAGTAAAAATTCCCTGTTTTAGGTCAGTTAGGATCAACACTTTATTTTAAGAATGTGAAATATCAGAATAATAGTAGAGAGAATGATTTATTTCAGCTTTTATTTCTTTAGCCACCTAGCTAACATTAGCCACAACAAATTGGAATTTGTAACATATAAGTATTGCAAATTCGTAACATATCATACGAACTGTAATTATAAACATATCATACGAACTGGATGATGGACATCCACAAGTTAATACATACCATATAAAACGTATGTTACTATGTTATGTCCAGGTTCTAGCAGTTTGACTCTACCATGGATGGAGCCAGTTAGGCTGCACTAACCTGAATCTCTTGCTGAGTCCCAGGAAGGTTTCTGTCTCCCGGGTGAAGAGATGAGCGGACCGGGGAGAGGAGCAGCGCTCACCGCTCCCTGGACTTTCACACGACTCACAACAAACCGTCATTCTGGCACTCGTTGTTTTGACGACCTAAAAGTTGAGGAGAAAAGTGTAGATATGATCAAATCAGACATGTATCCATCTTCGTGATAAATACAATGAACTTTGCCACGCAACATAGAAGAAAAAAAAGAAATAACAAAAATTTCCCAAA